AGGAAGGAAGGAAGGAAGGAAGGAAGGAAGGAAGGAAGGAAGGAAGGAAGGAAGGAAGAAAGGAAGAAAGGAAGAAAGGAAGAAAGGAAGGAGATAAAAGATAGTACTACTCACCTATATAGATTATGGAAGGACAGAGGGAGAAAATCTCACCTGGCCTTCTCCCATACAACTGTTTGCATTTTACAGAAATACACTAACTGACGGAAATCTTTATTTCTCTTTGAGTCAACCACCCCTTCTCTCACAGTCTAAACAACACGCAAAAGTGTTCAATAATGTGGCATAATTTTGAAATGTAACATGAAAAAAAACCCTTCTTCTTCCACTCTTTGGAAGAGCTGCGAGACCTGTTGAATGCATTCTTTTGTCCCTCAGCAACAGAGAACAAGACATTAAAAATACATAAAAAGCATCCTAAAAGGGAGGTGGATGGGAGGCGGTTTTCACCACAGTGTTTCTGTTAAAGACAATATTTTGCTTTCAAATATAACATATGGCATTGTACGACTATTTCTTTTGTCACACTCAGCCCTTAATACACAAACTGCAAAGTTACTGCTTGTCAGTTGGTTATAACACAAATTGCGCACAATGAACAGCTTTCGGGGAAATCTGTCAACCAAGTTAGTTGGCACTGTCTACCTAGCAGGACTTCAAACACAATTGCTGTACCAAAGGAGGAAAAATATACTTCTGTTGCATGCTTAGATTATGCTGTCAATCTCTATAATAGGTGTTTTTTTTTTTAACTTGTATGGACTGTTTATCAATTAAAATACGACATGTAACTGCCAGAACCAGATAGGCCTTAGTTTTTATATAATTTTGCATCTAAGTGAAGTTAGACTCAATAAACCATTTACTACAATTACTCGCTGTTAGTAATTTTCCTATTCTAATTTCCTAATTTTAAAATTTCTCTTTGGTGGCCATTTTTTAAGGACCAAGAGTTTAAAAAGATTTTCAAGGCTGAAATTTCAGAGATTACACGTAGCATTAAAGGCAAACTTGGCCCATAAGAAGCAGGGCAGGGGTCTCCAACCTTCGCAACTTTAAGACCTGTGGACTTCAACTCCCAGAATTGTTTCTAGATTGTCTGGTTAAATAGATACAAACAATTCTGGATGTTTTTTGTTTTTTTTCAAAGTGAGAAAATAGAAGTTTAGTTTACACATTATGCTAAGTCTGTTTAACTTGCAGGGATGTCCATACTGAGTGGGGAATTCTGGGAGTTGAAGTCCACAGGTCTTAAAGTTGCCAAGGTTGGAGACCCCTGTTGCAGGGGGCTGAAGGAGGAAAACAGGGACCTCCCTGCAATGACCCCAAACCCTTGCCTTTGGATATATGCATCATGATGTCACTCACACGCACGCCCCAAAGAGTGTTGGTGTCAAACGCAGCTTTTTTCAACCTCTTGCAAATGGCTCATATGGCTTCAGCTCACACATTTCTGAAAACGGATATTTCTCAGTATCCGCTATCAGAGATGGATAAGGCACTACAGGCAGTCATCGACTTGCGACCACACCTGAGCCCAAGGTTTTGTGTAGCTAAGTGAGACGGCTGTCAAGTGACCTTTTCTCCACTTTCTTGCCACAGTGATTTAAGTGAATCTCTGAAGCTGTTAAGTGAGTTAACACGGTTGTTAAGCGAATCCGGGACTTCCCCAATTAACTTTGCTCCTCAGAAGGTCACAAAAAGAGGATTGTGTGACCCTGGAACGCTACAACCATCATTAAATAGGAGTTAGTTGCCAAGCGTCCGAATTTTGATCACGTGACCATGGGGGTGATGCAAGGGTCATGTGAAAAATGGTCACAAGTCCCTTTTTTCAGTCGCATTGTAACTTTGGTCCCTAAATAGACCAACTATTTTTTGGGGGGGGAGTCGGTTTTTTATTTTTTGTTTTGTTTTTTTGTTTTCCCAAAGTTTGTTCTATTGTACTTTACTAATTTATTTGATTCTTTTTGTTAGTTTTTATTTTTTTTGTTTTAAATATGGTTTTACATTGTGTAAGCCGCCTCGAGTTGCCATGGGCAAATAGGCAGCAATATAAATTAAATAAATAAATAAAAATAAATAAATGAACTGTTGTAAGTCGAGGATTCCCTGATAAACTCAGACTGAGCTAGAAATCCATTTCCCTTTTGTCTATGGTGGCTAGGACGGCTGAGATCTATATTTCATTCACAGGCCACAGGTTGTTCACTCCTGCCTGTAGACATTAAGTTGGCCTCAGACACAGCCAACATATTAACATAATGCTTGTTCTTGAAATCAGGGATCTTGGATTAAGACAAGTTATAAGAATGATCTGGATATGATACGAAATCTAAGCTTGTGTTTTGCCCCAAGAATGACGGAAATCTTGACTAGCAGCTACTATTCGTGCTGAATCTTCTTCTTCTACTTGCTTGCAAATCCAATTTTGCTACCTCAATCTTCCAGGTATTACAAAATATGATATGTTATAAGACATAAAAGGGCTCTCTATTTTTAAGAGGCGTGGTGGCGCAGTGGTTAGAAGGCAGTACTGCAGGCTACTTCTGCTGACTGCTGACTGCCTGCAATTTGTCAGTTTGAATCTCATCAGGCTCAAGGTTGACTCAGCCTTCCATCCTTCCAAGGTGGGTAAAATGAGGACCCAGATCATTGGGGGCAATAGCCTGACTCTGTGAACTGCTTAGAGAGGGCTGTAAAGCACTCTGTGAAGTGATATGTAAGTCTAATAGCTATTGCTATTGGATGAGACAGATTTCCTATGGGTCACAAGCCATCTTCTGGTCTTCTCTTTATCAACGACAAACTAATTTCAGCTACGCCTCCCAAACTGTTGGGAGGGTAAAGGCTATTCAGGACTTTTCTACACCTAACTTAAGATACAATTCAACAAGAATGCAGAATGCAGCAGACAGATAACCAACTAACTTTGGCTGGAATGCCTGGAAACCTCCTGGGGTCACCAAAGCTAGGGTCAACTCTGAAGCTGGCCTGACTGAGGCCGTCTTTGAGGCTTCAGTGTTGCCCCAATGGAGATGAGGGTTAGGGAGGAGGGAACAGAGATAGCTGGGGGTTTGTAGCCAAAACAAAATACTTTCTCCTGGGAACCAAGGACATTCTCTTCAGGTGGCTGAAGAGAGGAGGAGTGATGTTACCAAGCAACTGGACAGCACCCTGATTGGACGATGTGACTGTTTGTTTGGGGAAAGGGAAAAACATTCACTTCTAATTAGGTGAAAAACACGGGAACCTTCAGAGTCGGTTTTCACCAGTCTGTGCCAATATGATATATCCAATAAAGCTGTTCTTTGAGGAATCTATCTGCTTTGGAATATCTGTAGTGCTATGGGTGTATTATTTGGAACCCTCACACTAGGCCTTCCTTTCTCCCACAGCATTACCAGATAAGTCACCATCGTCATACCGCGCGAGTTCAAGACATACCTGGTTGGGGGCTTCGGGTGGCATCGGGGACGGTGACTTGGATTGAAAAGCGTCCTGGGACATGAATCCGGAGTCATGCGAGGAGACACTGGAGAGCCTCATGGGTGCCTGCTGAGGCAGATTGGAGCTGCGGTAGCGATAGTGTGAACTGGGTGAGTGAGAATGCGAGCCACTTGACCGGGAGTCACTACTGTTTACACTGTTCAGACTGCTGTGAGATACAAAGGAAGAGAATGGGGGGGAAGGGGGAAGGGGTGGGGGGAAGAGGAAAGGGAACGAAACAGAACAAAAAAGAAAGGGGTAGGTAGGGAGAAACCGGCACAATACAATTAACGTCCCATGGATTCCCCGGCTAGGCATGCGTGCAAATCATAAAATGGTGAAACCAGAAGAAGTAGTTCTGAGGCATAGGTTTGCTGCAGTATCCTTAGTAACCAGACAGAAAATGGCACATCAAGGGAGGGATGCTCAAATTCTAATCTACAACTGGACGTAAAAAGTAATCCAGTTGCCTGGGGTGTCTCAGAATTTCTTCCAGGAGAATACCCATTTTAACCCCAAAATAAGACCCTGTCTTATATTTTTTGGCCACCAAAAAGGCACCAGGCCTTATTTTTGGGGGCGGGAGGGGAATGTCATTCACTGACTCACCTCACTTATGCGTGTCGCCTCCAGCCTCTTTTTCGCTAACAGAGGCCTTTAAAAACTTTGTCCAGCAAGGTTTTCCTGAAGGGCTCTCTAGCCCATAACAGAATTCTGGATCGATCCAGAGCTCTGTTATCGGCTACAGAGGCCTTGCCGGCTGCAGAAGAAATGGGCCAAGGTGTGCGAGGCCTGGCTGCAACTATCCAAAGGTAAGTAGTAAGGCAGCTCCATCCCCACATCCCCACCCGAGGTTAATTTTTTCCTGTGCACCCTGGAGTGGGCAGGGTCTTATTTAGGGCTTATTCGGGGGGTAGGGTTTATATTGGGCGCACATGTAAAAAATCAAGCTAGGACTTACTTTCTGGGTAGGTCATATTTTCAGGGGAACAAGGTAGCTAGTGGGTAAAAGGGAAGAACTTTATTTCTGGCTCGTGGCATTCAGCATCACTTTTCAACTGCACACGCTGAGACCCACACAGCTTATAAAGGTGCTAAAGTTGAACAAATACTGCAGTACAGGTAGTCCTCGAATTATGACCACAACTGAGCCAAAAAATTTCCATCGCTAAGCAAGGCACTTGTGAAGGGAGTTTTGCCCCCATTTTACAATCTTTCTTGCCACAGTGGCTAAGTGAATCGCCGCAGTTAAGAGAGTAGCACAGTTGGTTAAATGAATCTGGCTTCCCCATTGACTTTGCTTGTCAGAAGGTCACAAAAGGTGATCACCCTGGGACACTGCTACCGTCATCAGTACGAGCCAGTTGCTGAGCAGCCAAATTTTGATCACGTGATCATGGGGATGCTGTGATGGTCATAACTATAAAACAGTTGTAAGTTTTGCTTCATTTTGAATGGTCACTAAATGAACGGTTGTAAATTGAGGACGATCTGCATAGCGTGGCTATTTGGTTCTTCTTCAAATTATTTTACAGGCAGGTGGAACATTCAATTGGCAGCCCTTCCAGTAAACATCTGTGTCCGGAACAATCAAGAGGATAATTCTCCTATGCAAGTCCCAGTAAAATCAGCGTGAACAATGGTTATACCACAAACTGCTGCTTTCTGTGGGATTTGTATAGGTGATCAAAGGTTTTTTTATTCTCATCCTCTTGCTCATAATCCTTCACTGTCTTCCTGAACTCCTTCATTTCAATTATTGGCCACCCAGTTCAAACAAGGAAGGCCTAGTGTGCCACTGATGATGCTCTAAAACAGGGATGTCCAACTCAAGGGCTGAGGGCCAAATCCGCCCCATGGGGTGCTTAGATCTGGCCTGCAGGGTGCATAGATCTGTCCCACGGGGCTGCCCTAGAAACCACAAAGGACCGGCCTGTGGTGCCCCCTGAGCTCCATTTTCGCTGGCAGAGGGCTACAAGGAGGCAGTCGTGGCCGAAAACAGAGCCTCAACAAGTGATGTCGAGCTGGCCATGCACCCATCCCAGCTACACCCACCCCCCTGAGGTAAAACACAATCTTGATGAGCCCCTCAATGGAATCAAGTTTGACACCCCTGCTCTAAAAGATTTTGGTGCCCCCGGGATTCTCTCAATGAATTGGCCCAACAATTTGACAACGTTCTTAACTCCTTGACAAATCTTCGGGGATGTCTGCAAATTTCCAGAGGCCATTCTCAAAACCTTGAAGGATCACTCCTGCTTTAATCTTGTTGGTTCCAATACTCAGGTAACAGAAGTGAACAGCAGCGAAGTGGAAATCGTTATGGATTTGTTTTAAGGTGTAATAGCGGGCCTCTTGGAGGACACGTGAAGGAGCAATGTGGCTTATTTGGTCATCGCCAAGACCACATATCTCCTTGCAACACCGTCTTGTGCCTATTTTGGCCCTAAGACTTCCAGTAAATGTACAGCCTGCCATTTTCCTTTTACGTTTCAGGATACTGCATTTTCAAAAGCCCGTGTTTCCCGCCATCAACATAAATATCTATAGCTCTCTTGGATATAGATACTGTACAAAGGCATGCATAGACGGCTAGCTTTGCAAGGAAATGCAAATGAACTGCTCTCTCTCATGCCGCGGATGCTGTACAACACCTCTCCAATCTGTGTGATTTAGAAAGGCAAACATTTTAAAATAAAGTGATAACAATGCGAGAGCATCGGGGGCTAGGAAGAAATGAAAGGACAGAAAGACACACAGCAGGAAGTATTTCCTTTTGCTGGAGAAAAGGAGAAAAGTAAGGTTTCAATACACCTGGGAAGAAGCAAGGAATTAGGTGTGCATGCGGTCAACTGTTTTAGCCATGAGAAAAACAGTTTCTTGGAGGAGGTTGAAAAGGCATCTCAAGAGTTCCAAGACACACAAATAAGGCTAACATATTAAAACAGTGCTGAACAGTTCACAGCTATTGCATCTAACAACAAACAACTTTATCCCAACCATTTGAGAGACGTTTGGTGCACTCAGACAATTTTAATCTGCTACGCGACTAAAGTTCCTTCATCATTAGTTCTGGTTTTTTTTAATTTCACCTTAAATTTTCAAGGCCAGGAAAGCAGCACAGAGAAGAGCAGGCTCTGAATCAGCAGTCAAACAGGCAAGCCGACTCAATTAAAAGATACCTTTTTAATTTTCTCAAGCCGCTTTTGGTAAAATTCTTTAAGCACTGGAATCCTCAACCACACGCGTTCTGAATCACTCCAATGTTGTTGGGAGCAAATCAACGGAATTTTAACGAAGGTATTAATCAGATCTGGAGACACGTCTGGATTCTAAAATGTTAAGAGGTAGGGTGACATGGCCCCTTGGGAATCCTGGTTTGGAGGGGGAGTTGGAACCGGGACCATCCGACAGGGACGGGACATCTCCCTTGGAATGTCTGGAGAGTCCAGGGCTGAGGACAATGCTGTCCCAGGCCCTTCCAGCCTTGGGGGAATTGGTCAACCGGCCTACCTTGACCAACGCAGTGGGATGAGAGGCAACAGATCCCCTCTGACAAGGAACAGCTGCCTCCCCCACCACCCGATCCGAGGGCCTGGGGAATGGAGCGGTGGGAAGCTCAGAGGAGGTCTGTGAGGCTGCTCAGGAGGAGGCCGCCCCACCCCTCCTCATAAGGAACACTAGGCTTGGGCTGATTTAACCAGAGGCTGGGAGAGGGGGTCTTCGTCAGGAACTATTGTCTCAGCACTCACTCCCCTGACTTTGGGAAACAACCTTGACTTCTGGACTCCCAAGTCATGTTTCGACCTCTGGATTTGCCTATCTTGCTTTGTGGACTCTGACTCTGGATGGTGACTTACGGATTTTGTTTTTGCAACCTCTGGGGTTTGTGGACTTCATCTTTCTTCCTGTTTGGGGGCTTGTTTCTGGCGACTATTGGACTCAGAGGGTGAGACTGTGTTATATTGACTGTGGGTGGGTGGTGGGTTTTTTTTTTGGGGGGGGGGGGGGGGGGGGGGGGGGGGGGGGGAAAATTCCCCCGGGGGGGGGGGGGGGGGGGAATGGAATCGGGGATTAATAATATCCCTGAAGGGCCGTCTGTTGTGATTTAGCAGTGCAATAAAGGACTTTACTGGTGTCTGCATCTACCTACACAACCCGAGACAGGACATAAGGATTGCAACTAAATTCAACGCCACAAATGAATAATGGGAAAGTTGACAAAACTCAGCAGAAGTGATGCTTCGATCAGTTCCAAAATGATTACTTCAGACTTGCTGAATGTTCTAAGCTCAAATCCAAATACACTAAAAAGTTTAAACAACAGTTTCTCCTTTAAGAAACAGGATTATTTCATTTTATTTACTGCATATTATCCTGTTTTTCCATCGCCCTCTGGTTGCTGAAAGAGATGTACATGGGATTTACTCTTGATTAAATTCCCATACAGTTGAAATTTATTTTTTATTCATTCATCCAATGTATATGTTGTCTATCTTCTCGATAAGCAAAGCTGAGATGCTGACAGACAATGAGTTCCCTTAAGAACAAATGCAATGTTGGGTTTTCCTGGCCCAAATTCAAAATCTTTAAACACAGTCTACCACACTTACCTGCACACGCTGGATTTTCTGGACATGGTGGTACTGGGAGAAGAAGGTGGAGTCTGATAGGACCAGCCATAATCGGAACCTTTCAAATCGAGAATCACCTGGAAAAAAAGCAAGAATCACTATGAAAGATCAAAGTTGACTTTAAAAGGCTGGTTTGGGGTCTTCTAACTCAGAGATCCCCAGCCCCCTGATCTGTGAACCGGCACTGGTCTGCGACATGTCAGAAACTGGTCCTTGCAAACAAGCGAAGCCCCATCTGCAGGATGCAGGCAGCATGCGAAACCATGCTCCCACTCTGGTCCATGGAAAAACCTCTCTCCATGGAATCAGCCCCTGGTGCCCAAAAGATTGGGGGCAGCTGTTTTAAATTGGATCCAAAAATTATCCTAGTGTCTCAAAGGCATTCTTAAAAGCTAAAAGTCATATTATAGAATAGAATAAGAGTTGGAAGGGACCTTTGAGGTCTTCTAGTCCAACCCCCGGCAGGAAACCCTACACCACTTTGGACAAATGGTTATCCAATATCGTTTAAAAAACTTCCAGTGTTGGAGCATTTACAACTTCTGGAGGCAAGTTGTTCCACTGGTTAATTGTTCTAACTGTCAGGAAATTCCTCCTCAGTTCTAAGTTGCTTCTCTCCTTGATGAGTTTCCACCCGTTGCTTCCTGTCCTGCCCTTAGAAGCAATTACTATGACATTAAGCACTTTTAATCTGAAGTGGTGACTGTGATTTTCTCAACCTTGGCAGTTTGAAGATGTGTGGATTTCATATCCCAAATCCAAGGCTGACTAGGGAATTCTGGAAGTTGAAATCCACATCTTCAAGTTGCCAAGGTTGAGAAATGCGTCTCTTTACTAATAATAATGCTCTGCTCTTCAGATAGCAATGCAATGTAACCCATAAACCAAAAGACACTATCACTGTGTCTTGGGTGATTCCGAGAACTGTTTAATTATAAAAATAAGTCAGGGTCAGATTTTCAGGGATGCAAAATCAAGCAAACATTCTGAAAAACCTCAGAGACAATATAGCATTAAGCCTATCATGGAACACTGATAATTGAGTGAACAGAATAAAAGATGCCACAACTGGCTTATAGATTATGCAGTGCAACCTTCAATTGTGCGTCCCTCAATATATATTTTAAAGTCTTCGATAAATACACCCTTATGTTTAGATGAAATAAAAACCAAGTCAAATTTGTTACACGCCAGAATAACTTCCAAATTATGTGTTCACCTGTTCCAATGAAAACAATGGACTATGGGCTGAAATAAAATCTTTTTTCTTATGATGCAATTTTTGTATGACTTCTTGAATTAGTTTTGATTTGTGGTGATTTGCCTGCAGTCACCCTAATCCCTGCAGTTTTCTTGGCAAGATTTTGGTTTTGGAGGTGTGCTATTGCCTCCTTCCTAGGGCTGAGTGTGTGTGACTGGCCCAAAGTCATCCAGTTGGTTTTGTGCTGAAGGTGGGACAAGAACTCATCTTCTCTTGGTTTCTAGCCTGATGCCTTAACCATTGCATCAAACTGGCTTTCTTGCATGTTATATGAATCCTATAACGCAATTCTATTTTCAAAATCAACTTATTGTATTAAAAAATATGCTCCAATATTCCAGTTCTTGCAAAAATCAAAGGGATATTGACTGAGATTTTTGTTTCTGCCTAATTCCCTAAATGAATGAAAAGAAGCACAGGTTATCCTCGACTTACAACTACAATTGAGCCCAAAATTCCTGTTGCTAAGCAAGACAGTTAACTTACAGCTTAGCTTGCCACAGTTAAGTGAATTATTGCAGATGTAAGTTAATAACACAGGGATTAAGAGAATCTGGCTTCCTCATTGACTTTGCTTGTCAGAAGATCACAAAAGGTGATTGGTTGGTTGGTTGTCTCCGGGATACTGCAACTGTCATAAGTACATGCCAGTTGCCAAGCGTCTGGTTTTGGATCATGTGACCATGGGGATACTGCGACAGTTGTTATGTTTGGAAACCGATCATAAGTCACTTTTTTCAATGCCACTGAAACTTTTCAAGGTCACTAAATGAATGGTTGTAAGCCGAGGACTGCCTTAGTATTTCTGAGTCAGGAGTCCCAATAAACAAGTATACCTGTTCACTTGATGATGGCAGCTTGTGTGGGTCCATGGTGAGGCTTTTCAGATCTTCCGATATGGTCTGCAGGTGAGTTATTTCTCCCAGCATTGATATTTCTTCTTCCTGGAAGATTTTTTTTTAAATAAAAAACAGAGAATCTGCTATGAGTACTCAGTTTTATTGTGTATTCAGTTCTGTGAAGAGAGGACAATCTTAGCACAACATGGAAATACAGTACGGCAGATCTATTGTCAGGGCTCCAACAAATCCACCCTCATCCAAATCAAAAGTCTCTAGCCGCATCTCAGAAAAAGTACATCGGTTTATTAGAAGTTGCCATGTTGGTGCATGGCTGGGTGCAGCCAATACTAAATCACATCACACATTTCCCCCTTGACCCTGGTCTTTCCCCCACCCCCTGGATGTGACTTCTCCAATGGGACACACATCCATCTCCTAGAGTCATCCATCATGCTCTCCAGTAACCTTCTGATGTTCCGACAACTTTGGGCTACCGAGGTGATTATCTAGGCATTTCAAGAATGCCTTGCTTTCCCCCACTCCCTTTTTCTGGCAGCTAAAAAGACCGAAGGAGTATCTTTTTAGTTGACATCTATATTTCTTCAATAGTTTATTCTCATGACTCTCATTAAAACAAGCTAACAGGAGTTGTAAAACCTCATTATCTACCTCTAAGTATGAATTTGGGGAGGGATATTTCTTAAATTCATGGTTCGGGGAAAGAGGAAGGAAACAAGAGATAACTTCATTTACATATGAAGGTAAGTGTTGCCCCTGTCCAGTCGTGCCTGACTCTAGAAGACGGTACTCATTTCCCAGCTGAAGAAGCCAGCATTATCCAAAGATACTTCCGTGATCATGAAGCCAACGTGAGTACACTTCCCACTGAAGTGGTACCTATTTATCTACTTGCATTTGCATGCTTTTGAACTGCTAGGTTGGCAGGAACTGGGCAAGGACAGGAACTCACTCCATCACATGGCAGTAGGATCTCAAACCTGGGCTGTCATCTTTCCAGGTTACAAGCTCAGCATCTTTAACCGCTGAGCCATTGCACCCCTCTTTTTATTTATATATACTAACTTATACAGACTTATCATAAAGCAATCTGGAAGTTCTAAATGGGAAGGTGATCTCAGATTTTTCTATAGCCATGGAATAGCAGCACATAGCTAGTTACATCTCTTCCTTCTGCATATACATCCAGTATTGAGATCCAGTTTACAAAGAGCCTTTGACAGAATGGATTCATTCACAGAGGAGCTAGCTAAGCAAAGAGAAGAACTAAGTGGCAGTTTTCTCATTTCCGCCATGCTCAATAGCAATTCCATTTTCCTACTCCTAATTTCCCAGGACAGCTACGCACATGGCCTCTGTCATTTTCAGCAGATATTACTTCTTGAGAATTCAATTCCAGAAGTTTTCACTGTCACCCAATCTGCAGTTATCAGAGCCAGGCAACTAATTTAAAAAATTTCCCAGCTTTCAAAGTCTCGTGATGATCTGCAATTCTTAACTAGCTACTTTAATACTTTTTGTATATTTGTTACCTTGCCTGAGAATGTTTAGAATGAAAAGTTGCATAGAAAATATTGAATAAATAAATCTAAGGGTGCGCAGGGAATTGCAAGGATCAGGTAAATAAAACTAAAACTAAATGAATGAATAGAAAGGTCTTTTAAGTGTCAAACCTTCACCGCATGTCCTTAAATCAATCTGTAAATGTAGGCCATTATCACCCTCATACTACACTGTGCAAGAATTGCACACACCACAATTTTGTATCTTGTTCTTTTATTGTGTACATCTATAAATTGTACTGAAGTTCCACTGAATTCAAGAAGGCCGTATTCATTACTGTGCAACTGTCAGGGAAAAAATAAGGCATTTTTGAACATTGTGAGCCATTGCTTCCCAACCTTGCAAATGGTCATGTTCATTGCATCTTAATCACCAAATTCAGCCATATAATTCTTCAGAAGATCTCTGAAATGCCCCATAATATTCTTCAGACGATCTCCTTTCATGGTATGCACAGAAGAGAGGATTTACACAATTGTGATTCTTCAGAATATGGATCACAAAGCCACAAAGCCCTTTTAAATATTTTATAATTGAAATAATCCATGAAAGCCTTCCATTCTAGGTGCTGGCGTTTATATCCAAAGCAACATTTACAATATGTTGCCTATTGTTTTATGCATACCGTCTATCTCATCTTGTCACAGACCTTTTGCGCATAAGTACGCATGTGAGGAAAGGAGCATTTAGGAAGTTATGGATATTTAAACATACATAGGAATCAGAAATGCAATATGCTACTATAGAAATACTTCACTCTCCTTCAAAGACATGGGAACAATAAAAGCATTGGGAATGGGACTCACAATTACAGGACGCAGCATAGAAACAAATGAACAGAATCGGCCACGTTCTTCAATCAATGCTTTTCTAACAGCCTGTTTCTCCGTTTCTTCAAGAAGAAGGTATTTATCGTTCACATCCTGCAGGGCACTGTCCAGCTGAGGCTGGATGTCTCCTCTCCCTGTTCACAACAGAGAAAAAACAAAAGTTGTTCCAAGCCCAAACAATTCTCAATGAAGGCCGTGAATATTTGGACCATTGTCTTCCATGCAGTCAAACTTCACAACCATAGCAGTGGGTGTACATATCAAAGAGTTGGCGGTCACATCAAAGTCAACCAACGTAACCTTGTCTAAAGCAACAACAATATATTTCACCTTTAACTTAAAGCAGAATTCTATTGCAACTGTTACACAAAGCATTCTTGTGTTTTTATTCCAAGGATGATATAGAGATTTTTTTTCAAGATTTAAAATTTGACTTTCAGACAAATAAATTACAATATTTATTTATAGCACTTTTATAACTGTCCATCTTGGATGGCTCCCAATCAAACGATAAACATTTTTTTCCCCTATTTTGACTTCAATGGTAGTCAGGGGAGAAGTGGTGGACTAGTTGTTTAAGGTTTTCTTAAATGAAAAAAAGTAGCGGACAAGTTTTTTGGGGACACAATAAAATGGTCAAAGACGATACAATCTTCATTAGCCAATTTTGGCTACTTTAAAATAGAATTGAAAGACGAGGAATGAGGCCCTATGACCCTCAACACTACTGAATGGAAAACAATCCCAGCAGCTGATGCTTATGGAAAATCTCCCAAGCAGACACCGAAACTTTAGGATGCTGGATGAGACAGGTTTTCTGGACAGACTTTTGGTTTAATTCAGAAAAATCAGATTTTTAGGTTCTTACGAAGATTGACAATAGGAATTGTCTTCTGCCATTCACAGCCACGAAAGTTTAAACTGCAACATTTCAAAGCATTGCAAATATTTGTATCTTTAATGTATGAAGAGTGTTTACCTCCTACAAAATAACATTTCAGCAATATTATAAATGTATGGTAAGAACATATGATATTCTTCTAGTATGCTAATAGCATCTTATGAAGTTTATATTTAATTTCTAGATTTTTTTTGGAAATATGGTATCTAAATCCTAGCTAAACAATACTCTTGGAAGGCAGAGGCATGAATTCAATCAAATATGTCATGAGAAGTGGAGGACACTGCAGAAGAGAAACTGAAATTGTGAGGTGGTTCAGAAGGCTTAGTGTGAGGTTGGCTCTTGGATTAAAAAGCACGTTTTTACATGTGGCTAAACAAAAAATGTTCCATGAGATTTCAGCTGTAGAATAATATGGATAAAAAAAAAATACAGTTGCAAGAAATGAAGGATTACAGGGATTCTGAAGCCCACATACCCGGTGTCTATATTTACAAATGTTTAACCAGGTCAAGTAAACCACTCAGTAATTATATTTGCACAACAAGCTAAGTTGGTGTTAAATTTAGTTATGACTTTTAGAGGTTTAATATGTAAACTCACTCATTTAAACAGTACCTACAGAATGCTAAGTTACCCCAGATACCTAAAGAGATTGAAACAATGTTAGAAAGCAATATAACGATGATGGAGTTAACTGAAGCACTCAAGAAGCAAAATAATGGAAAGGTACCAGGCCCAGATGGACTTCCGGCAGAATTTTACAAAAAATTACAAGAATCGTTGAATCTTCCATTGCTAGAAGTTATGAATGAAGTTATGTTAAAGAAGAGGATACCTAAATCATGGTCAGAAGCTTATATTACACTTGTTCCAAAAGAGGAGGCCGATCCATTACAAATCAAGAACTATAGACCTATTTCCCTACTTAAACGCAGATTATAAAATTTTTGCTTCAATATTGGCAGAAAGATTTAAAAAATACTTAAATAATTTTATCCATCCTGATCAAAATGGATTTCTGCCAAAGAGACAAATTAAAGACAATATGAGAGTAATCTTGGACACCTTGGAATACTACGAGGCACATCCTGAAAAACAAATGGCTCTGATATTTCTAGATGCACAGAAGGCATTTGATAATGTGAATTGGCGATTCATGTTGTTACTGCTGGAACAGATGGGCTTTGCTAGAAAATTTATTCAAGCAATAGAAGCTATATATCATAAGCAAACGGCAAAGGTAATGATAGAGGGAGAACTGACAGACTCTATCGATATAAGAAAAGGAACAAGACAAGGGTGCCCACTATCACCTCTGTTGTCTGTGTTAATTTTGGAAGTGCTAAATAGAAATATTAGAGATGAAAAGAATATAAAAGGGATGAAAATTAAAAAGGAAGAATTTAAGTTGCAAGCATTTGCAGATGATCTGGTTTTTATCTTAGAAGACCCACTAGAAACAGCATCAAAATTGATAGAAAAGACAGAGACATATGGAAAGGTGGCTGGTTTGAAAATAAATAAAGATAAGACAAATATCTTGACAAAGAATATGCTATCAAGACAAAAGGAAGAACTGGCAGACCTACTGAAAATTCAGGTCACGAATAAGATCAAGTACTTGGGGATATACTTGACAGCAAGATGCAGTACACTAAAAGAGAATAATTATATCAAACTTAAACAGCAGATAGCGCTAGATTTGGCGAAATGGGAAAATTTACAACTGTCGTTAATAGGGAGAATATCAACAATCAAGATGAATATATTACCCAGAATTTTATGTTTGTTTCAAACAATTCCAATTAGGCTTGGAAAAGACTATTTGAAGATTTAAATAAAATTGTGTTGAAATATATATGGCAAGGTAAGAAAGTGAGAATAAAGTTAAAACGTTTGCAAGATGCTAGAATAAGAGGAGGATTTGGTTTGCCTAATTGGGAGTTGTATTACCAAGCTACAAATTTGATGTGGGTTAAGGAACGGATAACATTAAGAAATACTAGATTGTTGACATTAGAGGGACATGATCTGTTGTTGGGGTGGCATGCTTTTCTATGGTATAAAGGAACTAAAACACAGGGGTACTTTAGAAGACATTATATCCACGGGAGTCTCTGTGGTTAAACTGGGCGAAGATTAAAAGACAATGTTATTTGAAAATTCCAGTCTGGCTGTCGACTATTGAAGCATTTTCTTATCCTATAATATACAAAAGGGAACAAACAGTTAGATATGGTGAAATATTGAATGAAAAGGGTGAACTTAAATCTATACAAAAACTAGAGGAACAAGGTATAAAGATGAATTGGTTTTCATATGCGCAAATACATTCAAGGTATGATAAAGATTCTAAAACAGAAGGTTTCTATGATAAATTGACTGATTTAGATAAGATTTTGACAGGAACTGATGAAAAGGTGATTAAAAAATTGTATGGATATTTATTAGAAATTAAACTAGAAGAAGAACAAGTTAAAGAAACTATGATTGCTTGGGGGAAAAATTTTGGATATGGGACTGATCTAGAGAAATGGCAAAAATTGTGGTCTCACAATTATAAAATGACAATGTCAACAGCATATAAAGAAAATTTGTATAAGATGTTTTACAGGTGGCACTTTCCCCCGACAAGAATAGCAAAGATGTTCAAGAATAAATCCGAAAATTTTTTGGAAATGTCATCAGATACCTGGCTCATATTACCATATGTGGTGGACTTGTGCGGATGCTAAAAAATACTGGACTAAAATCCACACGTGGTTGGAAAAAAATGACAAAAAAGCATATAGATTTGAAACCAGAGATATTTTTATTGGGAATTTTACCTGAAATATATAGTAAAGTTTTGAAATACCTGATTGTAAATGTATTAACAGCGGCTAGGATTGTATTTGCTAAAAACTGGAAAAATGAGAAAATACCATCACAGGAGGAAATCATTAAGAAAATATTGGAATGTGCTGAAATGAGTAGATTGACATTTGAAATTAGAGAACAAGATAATAAACAATTTTATAAAATTTGGGATCTATTCTATCAATGGTTAGACAATAAAATATAGTAATGAAATATGTAGACTTTTAGAAAATACTGAATATATAAAGATGTATTCTTTTCTTATTATATCTACAAAATGATTCTAGGATAGATTTGGGATGATAATATGAACTGTCATAAAACAAATTAAGTAAAATAAGATTATTTCGTAAAGCATGAATGAATAAAAGTATAGTCAAATGATTGATTAATAATGATATTAATGTATTTAATATTTGATTGAAAATACGAGATTATATACAATGGAATTGTAATTGAAGACTACGAAATGGAAGCACAAAACAATTTGTAAACCAACCGGCACACTGTATGTATATATATGGAAGATGGCTTGATGTTTTTATGTTTTGTTTATTTATGTTCGTTTTAAAAACCAATAAAAATTAAAAAAAAATGTAAACTCACTCAAGAAATTTGGTTAAAATAAGTTTCAGCACATTGTACAAATCTTGAAAATTAATTTATTCCATAAATACTGTGTTTAATAGGAATACAATCTCTGAAACTTCATGTGTAAATTTCACTTCCTTTAATCCTAACAATTCTTTTCTCCGTTCCAACTCTTCCAAGTATTACTGTTTTTTTATCTTAAACCATCACACTCTTACAACTTTATCAAGAAGCATAATATAAGAAGCTGAAGGGGCAAGTAGCAATTGTTAAAGCCTCAGTTTCTACCATGGAAGCCACCAACCAAGAACCAGCTTGATTTCACCTTCAAATAAGAGGCCTTTTGATAGGCTGAATCAATCACCAATAATGTCTCAGTTCCCCGTCAAGGAATGGTTTTCATAGGTCATGGGGCTCAAAGTCACTCAGCTATCACTAACCTTCAGAACAAAAATTGGAACCACAATTGTTCAGAGTATCACTGAGGATGGGAATGCTGTTTTCTGCAGATTTATTCAATCTCTATTGAAGGTTACTTGCAATTTTTAAGACCCACCAAAGATATATCAATTGTTAGTTGAATTTCAAAGAAAAGAACTACTAAAATGAGTTTGGACTGGAGCTATCTGGCTAGTCAAGTGCAACTGTGCATGTCGGCATATATACCTAAAAATCAGAGCTAAAGCCTTAAATCTCGTGTTAAGTACTGAGAGATGCCATATGAATGTAACTAGGAGCTTAGATGTACAGGAGTTTCAAACTGATTATGGTTCAATCAGG